CCCTCTGCCCCCCCCCTCCTCCCTTTGCTGGGGGGCCCCAAGGTGGGGGGGGGGGGGGTACATATTTGCAGCTTGAGTAACTACTAGAATGGGTGGTGACGCATAAAATATTGCCCATATGCTGCACTCTTGCCGTCTTTTTTCGTTTTTTTTCCCACCACATCTCATCAGTTAACTGAATTTGGACAGTAAAAAGAAAGAAAATGTGAACTCACTCACCGATATCCTCAACTAAATACTTCAACACAAAAAGCAGATTTAAGTTATCAAGGACATAAGAGTTATTGAAACCAACCTTCAGCATATGAAAGCAAAATTGATAAATCATGAAATAACCACAAGCAGTTTACTCAGTTTTACTCTTTGCTTTCCTTTCCTTTCCATGCCCAGGCCTGGTAACTTCCCGATATCCGGGATCAAGAAATCTCTTAAATATAATCTATCTGACAGCATGTTCTTCTAGCCGATATAAAACAAATTCAAGAACAGAGCAGAAAATAAGTCACTGACATCTGCAAGTCATTAAAAAAAAAATAAAAAAAAATAAAAATCCTTTTCTAAAGCCTTGGGCCTTCAGTAAACCACAGAGAGAGCCATTATCCACAAATGGAGAAAAACTGGGAAAAGTGGCTAGTCCACCAAAGGTTACTCAATAAACACATCCAAAAGGTCACAATAAAATTTAGACCATCTAAAGCTCTGCTGGCCTCACTTGAGTCAGACACACGAGTCGGTGTTGATGAATCACCAGCAGGAAAGAGATCGGGGGAAATAACGACCTCCATGGGAGAGATCCAAGGAAACAGCCACCGCTGACAATAACAACACGAAGACCCGTCTGAAAACATCTTGAGCCGCAAGAGATGGGACAAAGAAAAAAAAAAAAGAAGTATTTGGAAGTGTGAGTACAATTAAATATGTAACAATAATACAGCGTCGTAGAAAAAGAATATTATGGTGATAGTATTTTATTAGTTTAGCGGGATTGCTGAAACTATAAATCCTGAAGGGAGAAATCTCTCTGATTTCAAGCTTAAGTGTACTTGGCTCGTGCAATAACTTTCATCAGTATAGCAAGTCTAGCAGTGAATTTCTCAAAACATAAATAAATAAAATTTAAAAAAAATAAAGTTTTGGAGTGGCTCTTTATCAGATTAATATGCTCTGGATGACCTTCGTCAAGCTGCTCAGGTTTGAACATTTTCCAGAGTGTTATATTTAAGATGATAAAAATTAAAATTTTTCTAAGAATAATTCACCAAATTTCTTGTACAGTGATGTAAAACACTTATTACACATCAGCAGGTATTGCCTTCTTCTGTTTTTTTTTTTTTTTTTTTACATAGGGCCATGTTGTTTTCAATAGTTTTTTAGTCTTAAAGGGAAAAAAAAAAACATTTGAAACCTGGCTTTTTGTATCCACTCAAATATTTTTTTCCTTTGATGTAAAACATTTAAGTGTGAAAAAAGAAGAAGCAAAACACAAAGAAAAAAAAAAGAATGAATCTTAAAAGGAACAAAAACTTTTTTACTGTACTGAGTTTAGTTCGGACATGTGAAATTACACTTGCTAAAAAAGCAACATAAAAGCATCGATCCCACGATACGTTTCTTAAATAAGAACAAAGTTTGTGACAAACGTCGGCTTTCAGCCTCCAGTCATGGGAGTCGAGCGCATATGGAAATGTGTTTCAGTGTACATCAAGGCAGCCCTTATTTCTCAAGCAGGACTCGATGCTATCTGTGTAAACAATAGTAGACGACTGACAAAAAAGGACGGAGCCCGAGCATCACATGTTGTAGCATGAAGCATCACATGATGCAGAGAAGAAAAAAACAAAACAAAACACTGTGATCCGGTCTGAGGGAGGGAGTTGGGTTATTTAATGGAGACCCTGGAGGGATGTTGTTAAATACTTCTTTTCTCAAAATGAATCCAGTGTTTCGAGCAGCTTTGCCGTGTGGCCGGAGAGTTACTTGTCTCGCTGGCTACTCGAAGCGGCGCTTCGTTCTCTGGAAATCCGGATCAAGACTCGAAAATGTTCTGCTCCTGTGCAGAGAGACGGGCCTGGGATCTCTCTGGTGGCCACGGTTCACAGGCCCCTCTGTTTCCTTCCAACCGTGCGCTAAACGAGGCGGTTTTTCACATTAAACTGACAGATTTACCACAAACCGTGTTTTTTAGGAAAACGACATGCTTATCAAATTTACAACCACTCCGAGGAACCACAGCTTGTTGAGCAATTGGAGACACCATATATCAACGCAGGACCTGCAGCTCAACACCCAAGTGGTCATGTCTTTTTTTTTTTTTTTTTTTTTTTAAACCTGGTTACTCTATAAAACTGACAACAGAAGAACTATAATTTCAGTGATAGTTTGAAAGGAAACAAAGTTTTTTTTTACTGCTTCTGACTAACAAACTTCTGAGCTTCAATGATGGGATTTCCTGCCGCCTCTTATCAGTTAGATCCTAAAACAATGGTCACTGCCCCCACGACTTTCTGCACCAGCCTCATCTAAACAGGGGGTGTTGCCTCGAGTGACCAGATGTGTTTTTCTGCTCCGGAGTCCATGAGGGCAAATAGAAATAGAAAAGACAGAATGGCTTCAGGTGTTGATGTGACCACCTGCAAACATAAAGCTGTCAACAGACAGCATTGTTAGGTTATTCAGCGTTACTAAAGAGCTTTTTAAAAAAAAAAACCCTAAGAAAGAAATGTTGCTTTTTAAAAAAAAAAAAAACTTTAAAGGAATGGAAGGTCATACAGATTTATTTGAAACAAATTTAGCCTGTTCCATTGATTTGACACTGCTTGTGAAAATATTTCATTCCCTGACAGTAATATTAAGTTACTTTTGATTCATTTCTTTGAGTAAATCAGATTGAAACTTTCCTGTTTTAGGTCAGTTAGAATTAAGTGAAATTATGATTATTTTTACTTTTTTACAGAGATTTTCTTTTCAAACTTTCAGAAGTTTAGACACATTTATGTGACAGTGTGCATTACTTTCCAAAACACATGATGTTTTAGCCTCTCTCTTGTACTTAACAGGCTGTTATCAGGTCTAATCCTAAGTGAAATTGTGCTTTTTATGTTGCTTCTAGAACATTGGCTTCTTCTCTGCTGGGTGGCCTTTCAGTCCATATCTGTACAAGACTCATTTCACAGTGGATAATTATATTCTCATTTGCTGGTAGATCCTTGGGTCTTTGTGCCGCTGAGTGCATCTACGTCCTGGTATAACAGCTGGAAACAACCACCATATTTGTACAATATCCACATAATTTATTTATTTTTTTAAAGTATGAATGTGGTGCCTCCAGGCGCCTGAAATTTCCAAAGCTCTCCTTGTAGCATCCTGCGTGACAGTTTATTTTCCCCTCATGTCACACCAGGAAGCAATGTTTTTATGTTAATAACTTACAATAAATATTCCATTAACTCAAATGCTGTGATTTTGTTTGACAGACTAACTCAAGGTGTGAGGTGAAAGGCAATGCATACGTGGTTTTCAAAATTTCTACAAATAAAACTTAAAAGTGTGGTGTGCATTTGCAAGGAGGGGAGACAGAGGGTGTATGGTCTGTAATTGTGTACTGCTCTCCACAAATCCGACCTGGAAAGTCACTTGGTCATAAAATGTGGAGGAGATAAGAGCAGAGACAGTCCATGCAGTATTGTGCAACGAGATGCTTTTCTTCAGCAGGTACATGTGCCAGGGAACTGGTCAGAAACATGGATGCAGTGAAATGCTGGGTAATCCTGTGAGAGGATGTGAAAGACATGAGAATGTGGTGCAGCCACGGACAATTACCCGAAACATACTGCCAGAGCTACGGGATTTAAAACACAGCATCCAAGTGTTAGAATGTCAGAATGGCCCTGTCAAAGCATAGACTTAAATCTAAAAAAAAAAAAAAAAAAAAGTTAAATTGTTGTTTGCAGAATGTTGCCGTAGATGATTTTTACTTTAGTTTGAGAAGCTATGTCAAAATCAGGAAAATGGATCAAATTCAATCACTGAGAGTTCAATATACACAATTTTATTTACATTGACACTTGTAATAGCAACATTTCAGATTTACACAGTAACTTTAAAGCTTTAAATAAATACACAGGGGAAATGCAGCAAGCAGTTGAATGAAAAATAGTCTCTGGTTTTCAGTAAGGCTCCTTTCCCAATTGTATAATTTTGTCATATTCAAAGTTTTCTGATCGGATCTGAGCATTTGGAGCAGGTTCACTGGAACTGGCCAAAATTAAATCCTTTCTGTTAACAACGTCATAGAAAGAAGAGCAACATGCCGATTCTCTGGTTGAATCTATAGGGATATCTGTGCACCTATACGAAAATAAAGCATAATAATTTCTGTATCAATGTACCGCTTCTTCATTAGGATAAACATCTTCCAAAGTACTTTGTAATATACGCGCATATGTATTTACAAAAAGACGAGAGCAGTAAGAGTGTGGGGTCTTTAGTAAGCTAGATGAATCTGTAGTAGTGGCACCTCTTGACAGTAACTCTTTGAAACTCACGCACGCGCATTCACACGAAGGAGGACGGGCACGCTCGCTCACGCGCACGCACAAACACACTTAGCACACGCAAACAGGACACTTTCCACTCCTCCGAACAACACCCACAGCTGGGAGAGATGCCGGGACCACTCCAGACGACTGGCTGAGGGGCGCTGAAAACCCCCCTCTTCCGATAGAGGAAACAACTGGACGACAAAAAAAAAAAAAAGAAGAAGACGAGAGGGACGGCAAGGAAACCAGCTACTGGCCGGAGAACAATGAGACGGCCAAACACAGTAAGTTCCGCACCGTGTCACCTTCTGAACGCAGCACTAGGAAAGAGTCTGTGTTGTTTTCTTCTTTTCTCTCTCGTTCCTGTCACCTCAGGGAATACTGCAATCCACTTAATGGCATATCGCATCAGGTTCTGCTTGTCTTAGTTGGAGAACTACACTGCTAGCATGGTTAAAATCTGAGTTGGTTAAAAAAAAAAACTGACGGATTGAAGGAGGGTTGGGGGAAAGCTGTGAAAACACATCTGAGAAATGGCAGTACCTACCTCTCGCTTGTAAACATATAAACAGCGGGAGAAAACAGTTATATACATCTTTACAAGAGATCGATACCTCTCGCAGTCCAGCTGTCAGCAACGCAACGAAGCATTAAGAGGCGCATACCATATCTATATCTATGCCGTAGCTGCAGTCATGCACTGATCATGGTATTTGCTAACGAAAGTCCCAAAAGTCGTTTGTCCTTTAGGTGCTGCCGTCCCGGATCTACCTCCTAATGAACTCGAAGCACTTAAGGATATGTCGTCGTCGACCATGCTGCCTAATAGCTTATATAGAAGTATCCGTGTCATTGTATCTCAATTCAAATTGGCCCCCAAAAGTATCTTCTTCATACAGCATAGATCTGCACAGTTGGAAAGTAATACTGACAATGAAAGTGATAAAAAAAAGTTGTATTATTTGCATCATGTGATGTATGGAATAAAGAAAAGTTTAAGTGCCTCAAGTGCTTTCTTTTCCAACCCAACAACTGCAACAGTCAAAAAAAAAGAAAAAAAAGAAAAGAAAAGAAAAAACAACGCAAACGATGCTCCATGACAGAAAAAAAAACAAATAAAAAAAATAACACCAAACGTAAAAAGAAAAAGAAGACATCTGCTATATGTGGACTAATCCCCCCATCCTCCCCTTGAAAAAAAAACCCCCTAAAATGATGAAACAACTTTAATGAAATGTAAAGGAGACATGAAAAAGTGTAAAATAACCAACCGATGTAACAGTGTAATAACATAATGAGTAATGTGTGACGGCCGCCCACCCTCAGTGGTGCCTTCGGAGTTCTGGAAATTGGGAGCAATAGTCCAAGTGTCCTCCCAGCACTGAGCAGGCAAGAACAGCCATCGCAAAGATAAAAACCGTTTATCCACGGACGCTCTCTCCTGCGAGAGGCGGCGCTTACTCCTCTTACAGCAACCTTCACTGGTAACGGGGGACTCGGGGGAGGGAGGGCGGAGGCGGTCGAAAAGTAGTGGTTTGGATGATTTGTGGCGTAACATCACAGGCACTTTGAGGCAGCCAAACAAGTCCGGCGGGTCCTTACACCCACTGGGCCTGAAGGATTGTCCCCTCCATGAAGACTTCATGCTGAACCAGTAAGGGCTGCGTTGGAGCGCTCTTACTGCTGGCTGAGAAAGAGCTGAGAGTTGCTGTGCTCTGAGAACTGGACTCCTCCCTCGCTCTAGGCAACACAGGGAGTCTGGAACTGAAGTTCAAATAAATCTGAGAGAGAGGAAAGAGAAGAAAAAAATCTGTTGGAATGGATTTTCAGATGCTTTAATTTGTGGGAACTCAGTATTTTTCTTCTTTTTTTTAAGCCTCACTGTCTAAGATATTTCCAGAGATTTGGAGAAGTATTAACTGCACTTTGACAATTACACATTTTGTTACACTGCCACCACAAACTTAAGTGAATTTTATTGGGATTTTTTTTGTTTTGTTTTGTTTGTTTAACACAGTGTAGCACACGATGGCAAAGTGGAAGAAAAATAATACAAACAGATAAAATTATGGAAAGCAGTGGCGTCCATCATTTGTTTTCATAATCCCCTTGGCAAATCAAAGCAATTCAGTTTAAAAGTTTTTCCAGCCTGATTAAGCTGGCGCTATCCTGCAAAGAGGAACGAGCAAAACTGTCGGCGTCCAAGAGTAAAGTTAGCAGTGAATTAGCCAAACATGAAAGATAATTGCACAGTACTTTTCATTTTTTGATTATTTAAAAAGTTTGAGAACTGTTATTAATCTTCTTTCCTCTTAATATTTACATATCGTGCCATTAGAATCGCAATAAAATACAGACTGACATTTGTTATTGCAACACTGTGAAATCTTGCAAGAGTTTAAGGAGTTTTTTTTTCCAAAGACAACACTGCATTGTAAGCGAGCGTGGGAGACATCTTCTAAATGTTGCACCGGCAGGCAAACGTGTAATGTTATATTTGAACGAGGGACAATAAACGTAAACAATTTACATGAATTTTTCTCATCTGGTCTTACATTTTTCATTAGCTCAGAGTTTTGTGTTTACAGAACGAGACGTGCCGTCAAGAGCGAAGGCAAATCAGGCCGTCGTCTAGAATGGTGATAATTGAGCCAAAGAATCTCGCTCGTGTTTACACTTCGTAAGGGAAGGGTATTTAGCAAAGTGCCTGTTGAAGTGAAGCTCGTACCCTGAGGGAACGTCAAGGCTTCTGGAATGCAGGAAAACTCACGAGGCAGACGGATTGAGGGCTGTTAGAGAGACGTTTCTGTCATCGTGACTCGCTCCGTCTTGCATCATGCAAAAGATGAGCTGCAACGGGTCCACCTTTTCTGTTTTTATACACTCAAAATTATTCTACATCTGCACAAAACCATACATTAAAGCTAACTGGGAGATGTTTCTTATTGGCTGTAGGTGTTGTGGATCAGCATGTAGATTGGTTGTCATGCAACTGTAAATTTGGCCGTCTGATCCAATCACCACCATCTCTGTACAGTGTGCCATGAGGACAAAAATACTGCTTATGTATTGTGCAGTATATTTGCATTGTTATGAAAGGGGCAACTGAGAAACACATTAGAAACAGTCTAGTTAAATTATTAAATTTACCCCTGGTTTTGTAGTTAATGTCTATTCTCATGACATATTTAATTGTGACATGTACAATATTGTATATATGTTTAAATAATGGTGCGTTCATACAAAACGCGTTTTGAGTGTTAGGTTAATCTGGTTTAGGCATTATCTCAGATATTTAAAACAAAAAATGATTAATATTGACTGATGCGAAAGGCTTATATAGTGATACGTTTCTCAGCCCTGTTATCCAGCCCTCGCTGGTCTCCAGTTCACCAAATAAAACCAAAACTTTTCCCAACTTTCAACCCTTTGCAGTCTTCCTGACACTATTGAGGAATGTGATTCTGATCCTTGTGTGGTTTTAGAAAACAGTGCAGAAATAGGTGAACCTACATGTTTAGTGGCATGTGACAGCTGTTGCTCGATGCTCTCAACCACCTTCGTGAAGGGGGGTCTCTTGAAGGGGTCCGCATCCCAGCAGGAGCTCATGATCTGATACCTGCAGCCAAGCACACAAACAACATGATGTTCCTTCGGCTAACACAGAGCGTCTTCTGTCCAGTACTGTTTCATCAAAAGGTCTTTCATTAATCGTTTGTTATTCTTGTGCGCAGCCAAACAAAATAGGACATGAGCGGGCTGCGACTCAACTCCCCGATGTTGCATTCTTGCATATCGTTTTATCAAACTGCAGCATCTCTCCGTTTGATGATGCGCTCTGAAGACTGTCATGTTCCACATCAACAGAAAACTCACATCTCGCTGGGTGCGAACTCCGGAGCGTCCATCCGGTATCCTTCTTTTATCTGTTTGTAGAACTTGGCGTCCACAGGCATACCAGGATACGGACTGTTTCCTACGTTCAACAGGAATCTCAGGTTACTTTGTGCAGTTCTGACAACACCCAGATAAGTCGGGATAAAAGCAGCGGCATGCATGGAGAAACATACCCAGTGAGAAAATTTCCCAAAGCAAGATGCCATAGGACCACACATCACTCTCAAACGTGTACACGCACTCAAAGATGCTTTCTGGGGACATCCACTTCACCGGCAGGCGGGCCTGAAACATAATAACTCAGTGAATAGGAGCTGCACATAAATGCAGTCCATCTTTTTTTTTTTTCTGTCTCAAATACAGATTTTACAGAAAGTTTAATAAGCAAAACAACCAAAGTGTAAAGAAGTTCATGGCTCTTTGTCTGAGGTTTGTAAAAAAAAACAAAAACAAAAGAAGAACCTCAGAGAGAGATCTGACATTACCTCTGAAAAAAATAGTAAAAAAATTACTAATTTAATTATTACTTTAGAGGTCATACTTTAACAGAATGGAGCAGGAATATGTAGCAACGTGAGACACGCATCATAGGAACTCACAGTTTCTAATAATTCATTTTTAGTGGTCTAATAAAATGCTACACTGGCTAAAACATCTTGTGCCGTTTACTTAAAAAAAAAAAAGAAAAAAGAAAAAGTTTGTACTCAAGAGGTTTGCTCCAGAATAACAAATGGCCGCATAGATGCAATTTAGAAAAGCCAAACCACATAGAACTGTGCAATTTTCTGGCTTACTTGCAAAACGATTCACAATGTTGAACATCTGAACATTTTCCTTCAGTTACAACCACAAACATTTATGTATTTTATCAAAATTTTAGAGGATAGATTTATGCATATTCTATTTTATTTTGTGTTGTGTTTTTTTTTAGCTTTATTTTTTAACAGACATACATTTTCAGATCTTGCCAGATATTATCATTGGCTTTGGATCTAGAGTTTGAGAGATTTTGATAGATTAATAGGTCTTACTGTAAACAGTTCAGAACTAATTTTAGATTTGATCTTTAATTACTCTATTTTAATACAGTATTCAATCCTTTCATTGTAGCTCTCCTTCTGCTGCAGGGTGTACTCCAGTCTGAATCTGTTGAACTCTAACAGGACCTTCTTTGAGGATTTCAGCACATTTAGCTCAACCAAAAAGGGACGTTTTAATCTCATCTGACAAAAGGAGCTACTGTGGGGATCTTGGCTGCTTCTCTGATTAAAGCCCTCCTCGCCTGGCCTGTTAGTTTTGGTTGGAACCAGGTCTTGGTAGATTTGTGCTTGTTCTCTTTAGTTTTAGATGATGGATTCAATATTACTTAATGATAATGTTTTAAACCCAACCCTGTTTCATCCCTGATCTGTCTGCTGTGTTCCTTGGTATTTCCTAACGTCATGTAAAACTCTCGAGTCCTTCACAGAACTGCTGAATTTCTACAGACTAAATTACAAGATGGCAATGAAAAACCCCTTTTGCCATTTCCTGTAAAAGGACTGATACATACTTTGTCAAGTCCCTCACTCACCAGGGAAGGTAGTCAGGGCTCTGCATTGCATTGTCAAAATCAGAGAAAGTGATTTTTGAATAAACAGGACTCAAAAATCATTTCTAACAGGAAGAGTAGAAATGTGAAATTTATCACTTAAATTTGTGATTGATGAATTGCCAGAACCAAATCAGAGGCTTTAGGTGCTTAAGATGAAAAATGTTTATGAAAGTGGCTGAGCTGACGGGAGGTAAATACAAATGTATGCCACACTTTTATTTAATTTAGTTAAAAAATATATATATCACAAACCGTTTTATTTCCACTTCAGAATTATCTGCTTATCTTGTGTTTTATCGCAATAAAGTCTAGTAAAATACGCTGGAGACTGTGGTAGTACAATAGCAAATCTCTGAAACATTCATTTGGTGAAAAAGTACTTTTTCCGAGGCACTTGAGAGTTAATGATTAGATTTGTAATTCTTCTTTAAGTGCATCTGAAAAGCGAAGAATCACATCTTTGTTTCTCAAGTGTCATACCCTCGGATCAAACCGCCAACATAAATGTTGGCAAACAACAAAGTGTGAAGAAGTTCAAGGTTCTTAAAAATCTTGTCACAACCTGAAATCTGCTGCACAGTAATGCCGAGTCAGCAATTGTAAGTCAGTATTGTAACTGATGTCCCTGTGTGTGCATATTCCGAGTCATAAATCACAATCCAATCTTTCTGTGATGCTGAACAAAACAAATAAAAAACGAAAAGAAAAGAAAAAAAAAAATCCCAACATTTGTCTCACATGGTGATCAGGCCTTGGAGTCTCCTGATTAGTCAGCTAATTCAGCTAATAGCTAATTCATACTGCTATGAATTTATTTGACTTACATACACAACTTTTTGCTTGTTTCTTGCATTTCAGCTGCCGCCGTAACTTCATGACAGCTCTACTTACGTTGCCCTTGACGACGTAGTTGGAGTCCGTGGTGATGTCCCTGGCCAGGCCGAAATCACAGATCTTTGCCACTCTCCCTTGAGTCAGCAGGATGTTCCGGGCGGCGAGGTCTCTGTGAATACACTGAAACAAGACGCGCCACAGCAGTCACAAACGAGCTTCTTCTCCTAACAGACTTTGAATATTTTTTCCGTGCCGGACTATGTAACACACAGCGGCCGACATCGATACGCAAGCTCTCTGGACACAGTATCTGCGCCTCGGCAGGGGGATAAATTTTTCAACAACATGCTCAAACATGCATTTTAGATCCGTTTACTAGCTGTGGAAATGCGATCAGCTCTTCCCATGACAGGCACGCGCGCGGCGTCTGGTTATTAGATGTGATGGGGTTTATCCAAAAAAAAAAAAAAAAAAAAAAAATCTAATTCGGCAGCTGTTCATAGAAAATCTGCAAACTGCGAGAAGCAGAAGCTTACATTTTTGGAGGCTAAGAACTCCATGCCTTTGGCCACTTGGTATGAGAAGCTGAGGAGATCCTCAGTGTCCAGAGACAAGTCGTCCTCATCGAACATCTCGCCGTCTGCGTCAGCTTCGAGGTACAGGCCATCTGGGGAGGGGAAAGAGGAGGTTTAAGAGAGATGACAGTTTCATCTCTGTTTTTAAAGCTTTTTTTTTTTTTAAGACAGTTGAAGTTTGATGAATGGCTGGCCGGCTTGCCTTTGCGTAGTGACTGTCTCCGCTCCGAGGATGAGATCGACGGTGAGTTGCCAGCGACAGAAGGCCTCATGCTCATGTAGCCATTCAAGCTGTCACTGTGAAGAGGAAAGGAGCAGTCTGGTCTGAGCTGAGTCCTGCTGTCCAAAGACCCTCCCACGCACGATCTGTATTGAAAATACTAGTACTCTCATCTTCTTTTTTTTTTTTTTTTTTTTTTTTTTTCCCCCCCATCACAAATCACTTTTAAAGCAAAGCCTCACCCATCTGCAGCTCTCTGTTGTATGAAGTTGCGGTAGAAATTGTTCTCCTTTAGCTCACAGGTGCTGAAAGATTCTCTCTTTCTCCGCAGGAAGTTCAGAAGGTCCCCAAAGCAGCAATATTCTGTGATGACCAGCGTTGGGCCTAAAGATGGAGAATCGGGTCTCATCAACATGAGCTTCCAGAATCCATGACACGAGCAAAACGAATTCACATTTCAGCCATAACTTAGTGTATTTCACTTGGGATTTTATGTGACAGACATAGTGTTTGATTGTAAAGTGCAAGTATTTTTTTTATTTTTTTTTATTGCACTGTACTGACAGCTATAAGGTCTTGTGGGGATCTATGCATATCTAAAAGTCTGAAATTTTTGCCAACTCTCTTCATTGCAGCAGAAGCATCTTTTAAAATCAATTTTCTGATCTAGCTGGCTCTAGATCTAGATTCAGACTCGTACTTTACATTCTAACACATGGTGTTGGGAGTTTGAATATTTCTGCCAGGCACCAGATCTGTGCTACGTTAGACGGCTCCAAGACAAATCTCAACTAAATAAATCTGACTCTTCCAGTTTCAATCCACCGCCTAAGACAAATAAAACAAGACAACATAGATGGCGCACCTCCCACAGTGCAGGCTCCCAGCAGGTTGACGATGTTTATGTGGTTTCCCAAGTAACTGAGGACCTTCAGCTCTGACATCAGTGCCTCTTTCTCCGTGGCATGAGCGCTTGCTGTAATAAACGCAGCGAGATAAGAATTTGCAAAAGGGTTAGAAGCAAAGTCATCTCACGTTGAAATATGATTAGTTGTTCTTATCTGATTGCTTTGTGGGCTGAATAAATAGAGTCGGACTGCAGGGTAAATATTAAATGTATTGCTTTAGAAGAAGAATGCAAAGCTTGAAATGGCAGCTCCAAAAAAAAAAAAAGAAAAAAAGCTGACATGTTTTGAGCACCTGCAGGCAAATCTGACAGCTACTGTGCACATTTATCATATTCGTTCGTTGGGTGTGCTGGGGCAGAACTTACATTTAAGCATTTTCACCGCCACTGTCATGACCGAGTCAGCGTTGGACAGTCCATACGCCGTGGCCTCTACCACTTTCCCAAATGCCCCAGAACCCAACGTCTTCCCTGGAAAAAACAGAGGTCAGACACAAAACATCGTTATCCCCTGTCCTCTTTTTTTTTTTTTTCCTTTCCCAAACAGACCGAGCACCAGCGCTTCCAGGGCAGCAACAGTTTGAGCCCTGGGGCTGTGTGTGCAGTCACCAGGACGTGTAGGATCCTGTTTGAAGAGGGCTGTTGAAAACAACACCCAGAATATGTCAACAATATTGTGTTTGCATAGAAGGAGTGCGGTTTCTTTCTCTTTGAGCTGCGGAACGAGTTGGTCAGTAAGAAACACAGACGCGGCTAATGCCTTAATGCTATGCATACATCTCTGGAACAAAGACAAAAAAACGGTAAATCAGCGTAAAGTAGCCAGGGGGTGTTATTGTCACGCCTGACAGTACAACCTGGGCTTTATGATTTTAACTGTTACTGCGTCCGAACCCCGTTTATCTCTCCAGGCTTACCTCCACCCAACACATAACAGCCCAACAGCATAAACACGGGTCATAAGTGTCGGGGTGTGTCAGCTTGCTATGACCTACTAATTGCAGCGGTCATTCGAGGGCGCCCGCTCGTCGCCAACGGACTTCGATAAAGGCGTGCTCACCGAAACGCAGGTTGTTCCGTGGGAACTCCCACTGGTGATTGTAGGGCAGCTGCGTGGGGTCAATGTACACATAGCTGTTGCCGTGGATTCCCTCAATGACTTTCCACTGGACCTGGTATTTGGGTTTCTGACACACACACACACACACAAAATGAAAAGACAACAGAGGCACGTGTAAACTCATGAATTCGTGACGGACACCTCGTACGCCTGACTGCAGGGTGTGCCTCACGCAGGGAAAAATGCATCACCGTCTTACCTGCATGTACTTGTAGAGCAGCAGGATAACAATGAGGCAGAGGATGCCTGCTGCTGATATGAAGCCAATTAGGAGAGGAGTGAACAGACCATGCCTTTCCTCTGCAGGGAGACGGAAAAGATAATGTTAGATAACCAAAGGCCCAATCAGTGACTTGTTCGCTGGTTTGTCGTGGTTGCACTGCAGATGACATTGCAAAGGGGCATTAAGGTAAGCCAGAGAAGGCTAAGCCACAGTGAAGCACACTTTGATCAAATAGCAGCAAACTAATCCCATTACTCATGTACGCATACACAAATTTATTCACGTTTTGTGTTTTGTTCTCTTTGTGTCCTGCTCCAATATCCCGTGATTTCACACCGCTCGTTTCCAGCGTCCCATGCTACGTTTGCAGCTGCGCCGTCGAGCAGTTGCATGCAATCGTTGTTCTGTCCCCTTTGTGTCTGGCCGCTTGTGATGCCTCATTGTTTTGCTCCTCTGTACATGCCGGGGTGTAATAAGCTCTTTAGCGATAAGGAGCTTTCTCTCCACTTCAAATCTGAGAATGCCGAGTCTGCAGGAACTAATCCCTTGTAAACCTGTCAGTGGGTTCTAAAGCTCTGTTTTCTTCGCTGCAGCTCACTGACACCTACAAGCCTCCCACAGACCACAGAGTGCCCAGTGCCGGGGCTCCCACTGTGCTCCTACACGCTCACGCGCCTCCGCCTGGTCTGCTGCTACTCTGTGCTCAACGAATCCTGGGACTGGCTCCCGAAGGCATGTCCTGCCTGGCCATAAACACGCACTGTCCCCATAATGCACACCCACATACCCTCCACCCCCCTTCTGCACAAAGCAGTTTCTGCAGGCTCAGACTGGGAAAACTTTGGTGTACTTTCAGCTGCTGCACCGCCGCTTTTGGGACATCGCGCAGCAGATGGGGCGGCCGTTGCAGGAGAGGGGATTTAGAGTCGTAACGTACACAAAGGCCCGGAGCTAATTCCTGTTTTTGCGCCTTGCTGCAGCCAATCGCCTCTGAGGTAGTATCTCTTTGTTAATGTTTACCAAATGGATGGGAACCAACCAAGGGTTAGCAGGGAACTCGGGGTTAATCTTTGGCAAAAATCGTTGTTTTTAGTAAACAGGTTGAGGCTCAGGAATTATCACTTGTTAAGGTTTACTGTGGGGGGGCGAGCCCACCGGGACGATCGAGATAATGTAGAGCAGAGTCTGGCGGGTTTGCATTAGGATTGTTGTTTTAATCAAGAAAACATTTTGGTTCTTAAGTATAAGCTGCCAATCATTATTGGGGGAAAAAAGTAAAGTAGATATGGTGAATACACATCTATAGTCAAGAAGATGAGGTAAATAATATTAGCAATAAGCTTTCAAACACTGTGGCAACATTGTTTACTAAAATAGGTCTTAATGTACTTTGTGTTTGTGTATATGAAATATCTAATGAAATACAAATCTTCAGAAGTATAAATAAGCTGTTTTTTCTTACGTAAATTAGCCATATTGGCTGCATATATGAGAAATATCCTACTGAGACTTCGAACTTATGTGTATGTCTCTGCTCATTTCACTTTGTCCGTAATAATTTAACTCAAAATTTTTCTCCATTCCTCAACCAATCAAGCTGGCGATCGACTGTCGTTCAAACAAAAAAATGCAACAAATTTGACTACAATTTTTAATTTAAAAGCACACTTATTAGTTTTTTTTTGTATCTATGCTTTCACACTTAGCCTCAATCTTAAAATGAGTGTGTAGAAGATCCAATGAACCCAATCAATCTGCTCTGAGACCGCCCATCTCCCTATCGGTGAAACAGTTTCTTTTTCATGTGAATGCATGAACTGGATGCAAATTTACCAGCGATAGAAAACAGCATGTAGGCTTGCTCTCCATCCCCGGTGGCAACGCACTCCAGAGTATTGAACTGTCTTCTGACGTTGACCCAGCTCTCCACCCTCTTCCCGAAGCTGGTGCTTCCCGACATGATGGTCATGACGCTGCGCTCCTCCTGGGTGCCGTTCTTCTGCAGGGAGCACCTAGAGGCACATCTGTTTGTTAGTATTTCATCATCGGATCCTTTTTTTTTTTTTTTTTTTAAGCAAACCTACAGCTTCATTTTACAAAACCCACAAACAGCTGGTCAGTGACCAGAATCGACCAATCCTCCTTTGGTCCTTTGGCGAAGACAAACAGGAACCTGTTTTAGGCTGATCAGTCTTTGACTGAGAAAGTGTTAAAGAAAAAGCAGAAACGCGACTTTATTTTCTTACTTAAATCACCTCCTGCTTCGCTCTTTTGTGGGAAAGGAAACGTGACATTTCTGTTTTTATAAAGCAAAAGTAGAGCGTGTAAAATTAGCACCCAGGCTCCACCCAGGTATGCGCCGCTCTGCTCCACAGAGAGCGGCGCATAAATCAGTGCTCACAATACCCGCTCTTCCTGTTTAGACATTAAAACACCTGTCATGGAGGCGCAAGTAATGAGCATCAAGTGGATTTGATTTCTTTCTTTTTTTTTTTTTTTTTTAGTAAAGTGATTGGGCGGGATTATTGAGCCTGACTCATTGGACGTGCTGCTCGGGATTGTTACTGGCATGGCAACCAGATGCTCCTCCCTCATGTATGTTTGACAAGTTGTAGCCAAGCAGACGCGGTCGCCCGTCTCCAATCAGCGAGTGGATTCTTAATCTCCCAGTCACGTGGGAGAGGGTGGGGGGGGGGAATCGTCTCATCACCGTCAACCAATCGCAACTGCAAATCGCACATTCCACCGCCATCATCATTCCCTGACGCGATCCAGCGCGTCTCTATGTGACCTTTAGGACCCCCAGGGTTAAACTTCATAGGTAATTGTTCAAGTTTGATAATAAAAATCAAACCGCAAGAACCAGATCTGAACTGAGCAGCCTGTTGGTTGTGGGGTAAATGTATCGTTTGGAGAGAAAACCCACACACACGTAGAAAAAAAAAAGTCCAACGCCAGGAAAATAAAACAAGCTAAATTAGCAAATGCATATTAAAAATATGTGGTATGAGAGCATGAGCTGAGAGCATGGTACTGTTATGATAACTATAAAAATTATGATGATCAGGGTTTCCCCCAGTGTATTATAAACCTGGCGGCCCGCCATGCTTTACTAGCCCCGCCGCCAGGCTAAGCGTTGCTTGTTTACAAAGGAAAGGGGGAAAAAAAAATCGAGTTTTTTTTTTGTTTATCTTTAAAAGCCAGGCTGCAAGCGTCTCTTTTGCTCTTAGCATTTCACTAGCAGAGCAGATTTATTCTTAAA